GATCCAATCTTGTTGTGACCTGCTCTATGTGCATTAGTTTGGCGTTGAACCTTATTTTGTTTGCCCCTTTCTCTACAGGACTACTTCAACTTCTACTGTAGTTGCCACTTCCACACCGAAATTACCATCAGAAATTACAGGAAAGTCTGTAGAAGAGGTAACATATGTGCTAAATATTGGGTAGTATCTTTTTCTCTCTTTCCCCTTGTTAATCAATTCTAGGGTGATATAATGCACGTAGCTTTGATTTCACATGTATTGAACGATGAACTTCCTTGAATATGCTGAAGTTTCACTAATTTTTGTGGCTGAGTAATGTTTTAGCCAAAAATTAATAATATGAACATACTTCACGGGGGGGGGGGGATAGGTAATAGAGACAGTGATTTCAATATTTATTGGTCAGTTATCCAGTTTTTCTCAGTGAATATTTCACCCATTCCCGTTTCTTGTTGAGGAATTCACATTGTTCCTGTTTATTACACTGTTACATATGTAACTTATTGCGTATACCTTCTTTCAATGAAAGATCATCAAGGAATGGAACGCTGAGCTGCAGGAACGTACTGCAAAATTTAGAAAGCAGGCTAATGCGATAGCTGAGTGGGACAAAAGGATCTTGCAGAACCGTGATATTCTTCTCAAACTTGAGGTAACTTGAGATTTATTTGAAGTCACATACTTCTTTGGAAAATACCCAAATTTAATTCAAGCTCTCTGCAAATCCATTTCTATTCTGTAGCTGCTGCATTCAATAAGCTCTATGTCATTTTTCACTTAAATTTTTCTATGCAATAGTTATGTAGGCGTTTCCTGCTAAGAGATCAACTAGTATTTCCAAGATTAATAATAGAGCACTATGTTCATTCTAATTGAGCTTTGCTGCTAAGTCTTTGTCACAAGAGTTACTTGTAACCTTGTTCTTTAGTTGCGTTTTTTCCTAACATACTTGTATAGGTTGTACCTTATTTTTCCTAGGAAGTTTGACATATGTAATTACATTGTTATCTCAGAGTGAAGTTGCAAAGGTTGTTGAGACACAAGGCAGCTTAGAGCGACAGCTGGAGCTAATTGAGACTCATCAGGAAGAGGTTAGTTAATTACCATGATCTTTTCCTGCAATTTGAGTCTTTATTTCCCGATCTAATGTGTATTTGTCATGTAATTTTTAAAGAATTCCATGCTTATGTTATGCCATCCGTGCAATTTTAACCAAAAGATTGTTGGTTAAATAGTATTTCAGAGACATACTTTTAAATATGCTAATCTGGTTGATGTTTCTGGAGTGGATCTACTGATATTCTTTGATACCCAACTCTTGCATACTTTCTTGTGCCAATGTACCATTGGAGGAAGCTGTTATTAGCCAGTATCCAGAACTATGCTGTCCCAGTTCCATTAAGGTCGCTATTTGAATCTTATCCATTCTGTTCTGCCTAGTTCCATTCCATTGCGGTACTAAATACTTTTCCTTTAAGACAAACTAGTGTTTCTCTAAATCTTGTACTATCTTGAGCGTTTAACTAGTTTAATCACAATTAGTTGGTATTGTTTCAAGTTCATATAAGTTTAGATCTTCTGGATCTTCCTAATCTATCATCCATGGTTGAGGATTGAATGAGGCAACATCACTTTTTGCCTTGTATATTTGATGAGTATAGAGTTACTTTTGCGTGGATCTTTGCTACCTATTTAAGCCAGTGTTTCACAGTCGCTACTTGCTTGTTTTGTTTCTTGTAACTCCTGGTTTGTGATTTCTAGTGATTGTCATTTTAAGGGACATATACTATGGTAATAACTCATGACGTTTATGATATTCATAGGTAATTGACTTTGTTGATTCTGTGTATACACTATACTCTAACTTGTTATAGAATGATGTCATAGCAGAAGTTCATTCTCATTTTTCTCACCCTCTGTTAGGTTGACAAGGCATTGCAAAGCATGGAAGAAGAAGCTGAGCGAATTTACAAAGATGAGAGAGGAGTGATTCTTGATGATGAAGCTGCAGCAACAAGGGATGCAATGTATGTGCATTTTTGGATAATCTTTTTTGCTTCTTGTTTCTTTAAAGCCATGCATAATGATGGCCTTTTAAATTCATATCCAGCTTGTTGATATTGTGAACTGCAAAAATCTCATACTGTTTCTTTTATTGGAGGTGGGGCATTAAATGACCTAAAACTAGTCTTAAAAAATGCATTTATGTTGCCTTCTTTTGGTTTCATTTGCCAGTTTAGAAGGTTAGGGCGTCAGGCCATAATAGATAGCTTAAAAGAGAATAGAATTAGTAGCTATATATCCGTTTTCTTCTTATTCATACTTCATAGTCTGAACTCTGACGTGAAGTATCAACTTTCACTTGGATCCTTAAATAGTTTTCTATTTTGATCTGTCCTGTAGTTACCCCAGCAAATGGAAGCAAGATAGTCCATTAGCTCTTGCAGTCAAGAAATAAACTTTATTTTTTAATCCTAGATTCGTTCTACCTTTTTTTTCATCTATATCCTCCACTTGGCCATATTTTAATGCATCCAGTTCTGCGGAACTGGTGTAATTTCAGGTATGAACAGGCTGAGTTTGTGGAGAGGGAAATGGAGAAAATGACAGAGCAGATCAAGTCAATCATTAATACTTTTAATGCTTGCCAGGTCTTGTACCTTTATTTCTGCTCCTGCCTCTTACCTTAGCATTATGATTAGATGGTGTAAAAAATACTATATGGTTTTTATAAATTCTTTCTTTACTGTTTTATTTCATTTAGGGTGGAGAACTTGAGGCAACTGATGGAATGACACCGCTTGATGTTGTTGTACGAATCTTGAACAATCAATTGAGTTCACTGATGTGGATTGATGAAAAGGTGAGCATTGCCTTCTCGTGCTTCTTCTGGCTTTTGTTTCTTTGCCTATTGCATAAAATGAAATCAGAAGGAAAAGAAAGTAAGTTGGACTAGTAACAATGTCATTGGACTGGTGAGAGATGCGTAAGGAAAGAAAAAGAAGGGAAGTCTTAGTTTTCCGATTCGATCTTCCAGATAATCTTATGTGACAAAAATGGTGATGTTCTGTATGAGTCAAGAATTTCTGTTTCTGGGAAATGCATATTGTCCAAGGAGACATTGCTATTCCTAATAAAGTTTTTACTCTCTTTTGGTACAGATGGGTATCTCCCATATAGAAAGGAAACGATTCTATTTTGGTAAATGCATATTGTTCAAGGAGACACTGCTATTCCTGATAATGTTTTTACTCTCTTTTGGTATAGATGGTTATCTCCACCACTATAGAAAGGAAAAGATTAAGAGAGAAAATTAGTTCATAAAGAAATTTACTCTATGTGGGTTACTAGCAGCTGTTTCAGAATTCAGCTGGAATGATACTCGTCTTCCCTTTTGCATTTCTTTTTGGATCATTTTGTTGGAATGGTACTCTCTCTTTTTTTTCTTGATTTTCCTTGATATAGTAGGTAAGGTAGGGTTTGATATACTCTTAGAAGAAATTACATCAGAGAATCATCGATCTTGCAGGGTTAAAAATATTACTCCACTAAGTTACTAACTGTTTGATTCATATACTCGTTTTAAATTCGTAAGCACAAGAAAAACATCTATAGCCGGACTAGGTTTTGGATTTAATTCTTTAAAGATACGCAGATTCCAGTTTGAATACAGTATTGCCAAAAACAGCCTAAAAAACAGATATAGGGAGGAGGATCACCACCTGGAACTATCACTCTGATGAATTATAATTGCTGATGTGAAATCCTTTTCTTGTGGGGCCTGTGGGTGTAGTCTCCTACACCTACCTTGTTTAGGGCAAAAAGTCTATTATGCCTCTTCCTCCCTACTCCCAAAAATTCTTATGCTCCTAGATTGTACTAGTGAGCTAACCAAATTCTCTTAAGCTCCATCCAATTTTATTGAGGTATTTATTAATTTATCATAATACATACAATACCTTGACTTGAGAAGGAAAAATAATTGCTATTCTGCCATTTCATCATCAGTTTATCTTTGTAGATCTGTTGCTTCTGTTTAGGTACAACTGAATTAATACCACATAGCGAATGCTGTAGGATCTACGATTACTGATACTGATTAACACGTAGCCTACTTTACCATAACAGATCTATTTTCTACTGTTCATTTGTGAATAGATTTAATTTTGTTGAAGGCTTCGTCTAGATGCAATTTCAGACTCGAACCCTCACCTTTATGAACTGAATAATATAAGATCTGAGGCTGTTCTAAACGTACTCTTGGTTTACCTGGATGCTTTCTTTCCTTGTATATACAAAGTTAATGATACCATTTCTACATTTGTTCAGACTGAAGAATTCTCATCTCGTATTCAGAAGCTTGCAAGTGAAGGGCCTGCTGCCAATCGTGAATCAACTGCCCCTAAATTATGGTTGACTCGATGATTGTCGTATTGGTGGTGTCAACAGGTTTCATGTCAAAGTATAAAGCCAAGGGCCTCTGAATCTTTTATGGATCTCGTTTCTCCTTCCTGCTGTGTATGCTATTAGGTTAAAGGGAGAGATGTTAAATCTTGATTCATTTCAAAGGCTTTACATCTAATTAGTGATTGAAATGCTGAGATCTCTTTTTTTCTTTGAAATGGTGCTCAAACTCGTGTGCCTTATCTTTGCTTATTACTGTCAAGACAAAATGATGTTTACATAAGAAATACAAAAATTAGCAGGACTAAAAGGTTGAACCAAGTTTTCTGTTTGCTGAAGCATATTAGTTATGGTTTTGTACTTTTGTTTGCTATGAGAGTATGAGCAGTGCAGACTGAATTGATAACCCCTCCCTGCATTGGTACCCATACAATTTGGTGTGGGGAGAGTGGTTGAATATGATTTGTATCACAAAAAGGTGCCTTAGACTAATGCTTCAAAGGCAGATAAATTGAGAGAGAGGGAAGCAACTGCACAAATCATAACATCTGAAAACTATACACAAAAAGCTTTGTTTTCTTCCGGTGTCAAGCATGTAGCAAATGAGTCGTCGTGTGATTTGATGCTGATCAAGTTCCTTGGGTTCTTGTGACGACCACAATCAACAACAAAATAACTGATAAAAGGAAAGAGGATCTAATCTTCTCTTCCAAGAGATGAGAGAGTTCAGAAGTGGGTTTTTCTTTACTGTCTGGTTCAAATATATCATGGATTATTTCACTTAATAATGATCCAAATGATTGGAGCAGCTCCGCGATTCTGGAAGTTGTGATGCCCATAATCCATTTCACTATGAGGGATCCGATGTCTGACTCCCCAGTTGAGCTTTGTGATTCTTCTTCTTTTGCTGCATATAGGAGTAGAGAAGAAACAGTGAAAACAACAGCTTCTCCTAACAATACAGAAAACTTAACAACATTTTATGACCAAATAGGCGAAGCATTTGGACTCAAAAGGAGAAAAAGAGAAATTATAAACTGGTGAACATAGGAATTTCCTATCATTTCTCATGGAGTGCATAAGGGTGTTGATTCTTTAAGTATTCCCATTGCAAATCCAATCCTTTAATTCTAAACCAAAACTAAGCTAGTTGTGTAAGTTGTATATCTTCATTCTCTAGGGAATAACATCAAAATTGGAATACGAAAAGTACCAGCCAACGAGGAGTTAATATAAACCTGCAGATATGACTGAGCCTTGAAGATTCTGAACTGCCTTGTTGCTCATCATGGCTTCCCAAACAGCTCTGTCACAAGCTATGGAACAAACCAATCTCTACATGCAAATAAAAGAGATATATGTCTATGCAACTGACAAATGAAATTAAACATCTATGCTCAATGTTCTTAATTTCTGTAAGTAGTAATAATAGCAGAAATAACTCAGTGTGATGAGATTTGTAAAATTTTCATTGGAAATCACATCATTACAAAGTAAGCTGATAACAACTAGTCAAAATACACACCTGAATTGATGGTTCATTTTGAAGCATAAAAAGAGCATCATAAAATCTTTCATTTCCAGGTGATTTCACCAGAGTCGACTGATAAGGATTTAGCATCGGTTCAACCCAATTCATCTCTTCTTTAGGAGCATAATACCCACTCATAAAACTGCAGTAAACAGTATAACCAACAGAGCTTTAGACATCTAGTTTACAGTATAATATAAGCCCTGGTATTAACATTACAAGAGTTATTAAGTCACGGATAAGAAATAATCCCAACATTACTAATACACTCTATTCAATACTATACCTACATACATCAAACTGTTACTTTTCTTATAAAGTTAAAGATTTTACCTTTGGAGATCAGACATGGCCTTTTCAACCTCCCAGCTACAAGGAACAGAACCAAAAACAGAGTCATAATAAGGAGACCCTTGTGTTCCTTTTTCATCAAAAGGTTCAATATCAAGAATCTTAGAGTTTGAACCATAATCAATACACCTATTCTTAGTCCAAGATTCTCCAAAGGGTATTTCACAAATTGATGATAAAGAAGGGGGAGATTGGAAATTGGAGTCCCTAAGGGTGGGTAGGGTTGGGGTAGTGAAAGAATTGTTGGAGTTTGTACTTGTAAAGAGTGGCAACATGGCTCCTCCTCCCATTTTTTTCCTCTATACTTTAAGTCAACCTGTGAAAGTGCAGGTATCTACACAATTTTCTTGATAAACAAGAAAAAATTAGGTGTAGTATTCTTTGTTCGTATTGGATAAGATATTTTGAGCACTATTAATTATGATATGCAGGCTAAGTTATTTTGAAATTATAATTTCTGGACTAATTTATCTCAATCAGAATTGAGATAAAATAATATCAAGTTGAATGGAATAGGATGAAATATTCGGATAAAATGAAAAATTTGCTATATTATCAACTTATATCGTCTATCATATGCGATATGAATTTTATTTTAGAGTTAATTTTAAAATATCAAACACCAGGTAACAACCAAGCAAGTTAATTTAACTCTAGAATTAATATTAGTCACTCACTCACAAATTAAAGTTACAGTAATTTACAAAGTAGTTAGTACGGCAGTTGAGCGGGTTTTTTTTTTTTTTTTTTTTTTTTCAACCGTGGTTTCCGGGCGTCGCTTTGCGAACCCGACTAGCTGTACCCACCGGGTCCCGCTGTTGAGCGGGTAACATTTTACTTACTAAACTATTTGACCCGTTTCAAGAAACCGACCCGTTTAAATTTTTCATAAAATATTTTAAGAAAAAATGTCTTGAAACATTTCTCCCACGCCGGAGCAGATTTCCACAGGGTTTAACCAAAAACCCTAAACCCCCATGGCTAGATCAGCTAGATCCTCTACGACGCGCCTATTCTACACCCTCTGCTCCTCAACCAAAAGGACGCCGTTGACTCCTCAACACCCACCGCCAACTCCAGTCGCCGCCTTATTGGCCGGAAACTTCCAGCTCCGCCACTACGCCGCCGGCAGTGCCACCGCTAGAGTGAGAGAAGAGAAAGATGCGGTATGGAGGGAGTCGCTCGAAAAAGTGCGGAATATTGGGATTTCAGCTCATATTGACTCCGGTAAGACTACACTGACAGAGAGGGTATTGTTTTATACGGGCCGGATCCATGAGATCCATGAAGTTAGGGGTAAAGATGGAGTTGGTGCAAAGATGGATTCCATGGATTTAGAAAGAGAAAAAGGGATTACTATACAGTCTGCTGCTACTTACTGCACTTGGAAGGACCACCAGGTATTAAAAAAATGTTCTTTTCGACCTTCAAAAACTAGTAGTATTTATTATTTTACTCTCAGCAGTTTTTCTTTTTCAAAATTATTGTTTTCTTGTTTGAATGGAGAGGAAGTAGCTAATTTGGTATTGAACACTATTGATTGCTAATCTTAATCATTTTCGCGGCTGGGTTTTAAAATTGTTTATGTTGCTTGTAACAAAATTGATTAGAACTGGGAAATGGTTTGATTTATTGAAATTGAATTGTCAAAGGCTAGTGGCGCACTGTTCGAAACTCGTGTATAATGGCCCAAAACCCTCTACCCTTCTCCACTTAACTTACATGATTTTGTATGTGGCAAGGTATGAATCTGTGCCATGAGCCGTATCCACACCAAGTGCTGTGCTCATACCACTTGACTAAATCCCGAGGGCAAATACATTAGGGTTATTCCTACTGTCATTTAGAGCAATCAGATTGATCAATGAAAGTTTCTCTCTTTCATTGCTGGTTGGCGTTTCTGCCTGCAGAATATAAGGAGGTAAATGAAGAGAATGCGAGGAAAATTGATTTCCTCTCATTATCTTGTTGGTAGTAGATAGAAAGTAAAGAATATGCTTATAGCGTTTTGTGGGTTCTGTTGGAGAAAGATATGTATGTCTATTTCCTTTCTGTTGTTCCCAACAATCAGATATCCACTTTCCCTTCTCCACATTTCAGTTAAAGGATTAACCTTGATCAAGTACATAATCAACTGAATCATAGTAGGTTTTCATTCGGTATTTGTGCTCTATATTCTGATAGAGCAGCCATGAAATAAATATTGTTTATATGGAAGTTTGATTTTCCAGTCTTTGATTGATCCTTTAATATTTTGTGGAGGAAAAAACAAAAAAGTTTTTTTTTTTTGTACAAGTTATAACAAGGATTTGGGATGAGATTGTTTTATCCCTTATCAATTTCTTGATAAAGGAATAGCAATTTTTTTTTTAAAATTTCCTGCTGACTAGACAAGTCAATCAAAAATGATATAAATGAGATTGTCAGGGCTGGTTCACTAGAGATTCTTGGTGGATGTTTAGTTTACTTAACTAAGCGAGATACATGAAACATTGTTATAACTTCCGTTTTTTTTTTCCTAGGTTTTTCTCTAGGAAAACTGATCATAATATTGCATGCAGATGTTTTCTCTTTTTTGAGTCAAGCATATTGTAATAATCCTCAGCCGTTTCGTCATAAAAAATAAAATTGTGGTAATTTTTCTGGTTCCAGTTCTTTATTTCTGCTTCTTGTTGTAGGTGAACATAATAGACACACCTGGTCATGTTGATTTCACAATTGAGGTGGAAAGAGCCTTGCGTGTCCTTGATGGAGCCATTCTTGTTCTTTGTAGTGTTGGTGGTGTGCAAAGTCAGTCTATCACTGTTGATAGGCAAATGAGAAGATATGATGTCCCAAGACTTGCTTTTATTAATAAACTTGATCGGATGGGGGCAGACCCTTGGAAAGTTCTTAACCAGGTCAGTTATGTATCATTGAAGGCCTATTAGACTTCTAAAAAGTTTAATTTAAAACTTTTTTTCCTTAAATAAATTAAATAATGTTGCCCTTTATTTGTTGCTTTTGCTACCGGGCGACATTATCATCATATGTGAAGGAACTAAAACAGAATAAACTTATTTGAGTTTCAAATCACTAGACCTCTAAAAAACGGGGGGGGGGGGGGGGGAGAGGAAGTCAGTGTGTTCATGCTAGAAATCAGCATTTGTAGTTCTGCAGTTAACTGAAAGCATTTATGTCTGTCAATGTTGGTGTTCAGAAAATATCATATTTGTTATAAACATCTGCTACTTGATTCACTGCGACCTCACTTACTTCTTGTGTGTGTTTGCCTTAATTCTTTGGCAGGAAGCACTTATTATTTTTATCACTGATATTATCTCTTGGTTTGCTGATTTCCTCTAGAACTTTGTTATGTGAATTCTCAATAACAGTTTAGTACTTTGAAACTTTGAGTATAGTATGTTCAGTTGCTCTGTTTCCTTCCCGCACAGGCAAGATCAAAGCTTCGGCATCACAGTGCTGCTGTGCAAGTTCCGATTGGGCTAGAAGATGACTTCAAGGGTCTTATTGATCTCGTGCAGTCAAAAGCTTACTATTTCCATGGTTCCAATGGGTCTGTGTTTAAAGATGTTTGGTTAGGTATGATAGGTAAATTTGCTCTATGAGGTTCATATTCATTTTTGGCTTTTGCAGTGAGAAGATTGTCACAGAAGATATTCCTGCTGATATGAAAGCAATTGCTTCTGAGAAGCGGCGAGAGCTAATTGAAGCAGTCTCTGAGGTTGATGATAAGCTTGCTGAGTCATTTCTGAACGATGAACCTATATCATCTGCTGATCTTGAGGTCTGTACACAATTAGTCAACCTTGTTTACAAGGAAATTACAACCTTGTTGTGGAGTGTTTCCATTTGTTACTTTTCAGAAGTATACATTATGTTTAGGACACGTGTTTCTTTTTCAAATAGTAGATTTTTATATCTTGTGTACTTTGGGGATGCAATTTGTGACATATAAATACCGAATTTCAAATTTTGAGCCAAACTTGCAAGCTTTGGTAATCATGTCGGGGATGGAATTAAAAGTGACTGTTTCACGCTGCATAGCATAGTCATTGTAGATCGTGGACCTATAGCAGTTGAATGCTTTGTGGGTTCTCAATTGAAACAAGCACAATGAGGGAGGTTTGGTGATAGTTTGAAGGGCACTTCCTCTTCTTTTGCGTAATATTCTTTCCTGTGTACCATGTTATTTGTGTGAGCATAGGACTGGAGCTGAGATTCTTTAGTGGTGGACAGGGTTTTTACCACATCTAGATCAATTGATTGTGAATGCACGACTGTACGCTAAGCCCTATCTTTTAACATGGACTATGTCAAAGTGCTTAACCTACATTAATGTCTACTGTTAATACAATAAATATTGCAGTACTTGGTATTGGTAAAGTAATGTGCTGTTATGGATCTTTGACTATTGACTTTATCTAGCTGTTGGGACATCCATTCTCCCCTTACCCTGTTTCTTTAATTTTCTTTCTGTGTTCATCAGGCAGCCATAAGGAGAGCGACAATAGCACGGAAGTTTGTTCCTTTTTTTATGGGTAGTGCTTTCAAGAACAAGGTGCTGTTTTCTTCACTGCGTAACTTAATATGGGATGCAACATTTTGATCTAAAATTGATATTGGCTATATTTTGGGCTTTTGTTTTATGTGAAAAACATTTAAGTTGCATAAATTTACCTGAATGATTATTGTTATTTCCCACTGAATTCCAGAGGTGTAATTTTTCTTCTTAGGTCAACCTCGCCAAATTGAATATTAAAATAACTGGGCTTGTGCAAAACTGTCATCTTTCATCAATGTTGATCATTTGAACCTGGATCAAATTTCTCATCAATTACAATGTGATCATTTAAGAGCTTAGGAAAATGGAAGGCAGAAGTATTCTGACAACTTGCTGTGACCATGATATATTCTTCTCAAGACTAATTCCTTAATTATTACAACTGTGAAGCAATCAGTACTTGATGTCCATCCTTTCCGTTTTTAGCTTAATTTTTTCAATGTACATTTTGTCTGGCTAATTGTTTTGTCGTGAAATTTTATCTCCTTGCTCATGGATTTTGTTTCTACTGGTGTATATCTAGGTCCATGCCTGCTAGCTGTTCTCATTCTTGCAGTTCTAACTTATTCCTGTTGTTGCTTGGCTATATTTTCTTTGCTGATGCTTGGTTTGGCACAATATGCCCAATTCCATTCTTGATTTTCAAGTGACATTAAATGTGTAATTCTTTTATTCAGTGGTTGCAGTTTTTGATTTATGCTTTCTGTTATTTTCTGCTAAACAGGGAGTTCAAACACTTCTTGATGGCGTTCTCAGTTACTTGCCTTGTCCAGTTGAAGTTAGCAACTATGCTCT